GGGGGGGGGGGGGGGGGGGGGGAGGGTTTGATTTTTGAATGAGGGAGAGCAACGCGGCGCATGGAAGCTCGAGTTTCTATGATTGAACTCATATTGTTTACAAGTCTCGAGTTCCCATATCAACCACCCTAACTTCTCTTACAAAATCAACATGAAGAAGACAAAAAAGATAGAACTTTGGATTCTTCGTATATACCCACACATTCATATTAGAGAGTTTTTCGATGAAACTAAGAAAAAAAAAAGGGTGAGATGGGTGGGCAAGTGCTTCCCACGTCAGAAAGCAGCTAACTTGGTGGTCCAGTCCAGTACACACTTGTGGGGGAGAGAAGAAGATGGAGAGTACGATGATATTAGAAACTACGATAGTGTCCACTTTGAGCATAAGGTTTAGTTTAGTAGCTTTATTTTTGGTTTCACCAAAGGACTCTAGGTGGATAGAGATGTATTTCTTACTTATAAATCTCATTTTCTAAAAATGGTCGGACAGAATTACGATAGGAGATTGAATTGGGAAGGAAGGAAAAAACAAAAGTTTGAGACTCCCTAGTAAAATTTGTCATCATATTGTCTGAAAAACATCTGGAGCTAACCAGGTAGGCAGCTAGCTGCCCCTATCTTCGAAGTTCAAACAACATTCGAAAAGATTTGAAGATATACACAGAAGAATGGGCTCCCAGTTGGGAAATGGCATGGCCAAATAATGTACAGAAGCAGATTTGTGATAAATAATCAAATAAATGTCCAAAAATATTCGATATGAAGTACAAAAATGTGCAGTCCACCGGTTGGATGGATCCCTCTGCAGAAAAGAAGGAAAGGGACCACAGATTCACTACTATACTTAGAATTAATAAAGGCACGAGCCCATTTGGGGTTTAATTTATACATAAAATATCCCATAGGCATAGATCCTTCATATGTGAAACTTTTGCAGAAAGGTTGGGTAGAAAAGGAGTGAAGGGTCTGAAGAATGATGTTCGTATTTTATGTTGAGTGAGTCAGTAAAAGGTGGGTCTCGTGCGAAGAAGCTGACACAAACGTCAGGGGATTCAGTTGGTAATTGGAGGGACGACTGAAACTATGATTTCGCAGCTGGAAACATGCTCAACTGTGAATAAAAATGTATCATTTTGTTTGTGGTCCTTCCTTCCCTTGGCGCTTCCGGCCACTTTACCCACTTGATTGATGGAGATCTTTCTTTTTTCTTCTTTTAATGCTTCCTCCACTTCCACCCATGGCCTTATTCAGTGGCCGAAGACGGAACTCAGAGCTTGGCCCAAAATTCAGGAACCTGTCCCACCATTATTCAACTTCTTCCCTTTTCACCTCATGTTTCCAAGTGTTTTCTTCTGTCCTTCACTAAATTATTGGCATACACCGCACCTCAACTCTGATTGAACTGTGAAGTCTGATCTTGCATGTTCTCCTTCCTCAATTCCTAAATGTAAAAACTAAAAAAAAAAAAAGAAACCCTCTCAGCCAACCAACCAGTCTTGGAGAGATTTGACCTTACCAACCCAAAAATGTTTTGAGTTGGGTTGATTAAGTTAGGTGTTGCAAGAATTGGGCTAAGACTTAGAATTAAATTTGTGAGTGAGACTGACACTAAAGATGCAATGATTCCAGAAAAAGGAAGGAAGGAAGGAAGGAAGGAAGGAAGGGGGGGCGTTTTAATAATGAGTCGGTGGCATTAGTCTTCTCATTATAATAATAATAGGTACCTTAGCGTTTGAAATCATCCTGCCCTTTATCTGTACTGAGGTTGAAACCCACATTAAGTTATGGATCCGACACAATTGAAGTTAGCGTGGAAAAGGAAAAAGGAAACCAACATGGGCCTCCATTATTTTACATTTACGTACCACCACAGTGTATGGTTTAACCACAATAATGCCTTCTCATTTCCTCTTCAAACCCATCAAACAAACCCATAACTACTTTTATTGCCTTTTCCCCTTCTAATCCCCAATTCAACTCCGACCTCCCAATAATGGCAACACCAGATTGAATCAATTCATCATTGTTTTGATGGGAATACAACACTAAGCAATCATGCAACCAAGTGCATCCAAAGCTGACTTTGGATGCCTTGTGAGACCAAACAAAAGATGTTGGTCAACAGTTCATGAGATTACACATTGTTCAGTCTGCATGATGTGTCTTAATAAACATCTTTGTAATTAATGTTTGATTTGAAGGTTTCTGGTCTTTTAAGATTAGTGTGCAACACAAAAGGTGGATTTCATGAAGTTTGAATAATCTCAAACTTACATTCCAAACTTCAGTTTATTAGCTAAACACTGCTCAGATCACATTTGATTGCAGTTGGTAAGAAAGACAAACTTTAATGATTATAAGGAGAGAGTGATCCGACTTTGCAGCAAATTTCGTATTGACAATTTACTAAGGAACAGGGGAAAATTTTATGAATGATAATGCTCTATTATCTCCAGGACTTCTATGCACCTATGCTCGCTATATCAGTACAATAACTTGCTAAAATACGTCCAGTCGAGCCCTCTTCGCGTCTTCACCTTACGCATCTGTATTCCAGATTACATTACTGTCGTCTAACTTGTCGAGGGCGGCGACTTTAGCATGAAATGCTTGTGCTGCAACAGCAGTGTCTATGATCTGATCCTGAGGGAGCTCACAAGCTTCACTCATGGAGCCAAATCTTAGTTCTGCAGGAGGAATGAAACAATCTACAGATAAACCAGGGACATTGAATGCTACTTCTTCAATTGTCCATGCCTCTTCCATCCTAGTCTTGGTGTGGCTCATAGCAGTATCTCCAAATCTGAAAAGGGTTACCACTGAGCGTCCCGAGTGAGCAATCATAATCCCCTCGACGGGTCGGTAATCGTCGAGGAATGAATTGATTGTGGTCTCCCAGTAAACCGCATCCCCTCCATTGTTTTGGATGCGGGTCAAGTGAGAGTCTTCCAAGTGCACTAGGAGTCCAGTTTTCTGACTGAAATAACCGAATAAAACATGTCTTATAATCTCTGCTGGCCCTTCGCTCCGGGCCTTCAACGTTACAGGATCTGCACAGAGTTTGAGGATGAAGCAATCCTCATCGTTAATCTTCTTCTCCCCAGTGCATCTGGCATTGGTAAACATGCTTGCAGTTGTTTTAGGATCAAGTCCCTGAAAAATGGAGCAACTTGAGCAAAATGATCGAATACCGTGTCAGGGCAGAGATAATGAGAAGATAGACTGAAAATAGCCGTTCTGTGGCCTCACCTGAAGTGCACGGCGTAAAGGTCTAACAGGCCCTTTAGCACAATGTGCACCGAGCCATGGCGTGTGCCTCCATACAAGCCTCCCATTGCAACCAGCATGAACCTTGCTGCCACCAAGCGCGAGCTCTACATACCACATGTCTGGATTCATCTGCCACAGGACAAACCCACCCGACTCGGCATCTTTGGAGGAGTTTCGGCTCCTGATAACTCTGTTAGCAGTTTCAAATTCAGAAGCTACCATTCTCACCTTCCCCATGGCATAAGCATTTTGAATAGAGTTTTGAAGCTTCTGGCCTCCGGAAGCAGCCGTGTACTGCTGTAATATATACTGTGCAGATGATGTCTCCTGAAAGCGAATCCATCCAACCATGCTATTCAGAAAGTTTATGTCATTGAGACAAACAATGAACTCCAAGAATCAACATTCAACAATTAAAAAGAACAATTGATCATAGTTCAGTGTAATAAAATCCTAAATCCAACCATCATCAAGACAGAAAATCTTATAGCAAATTAAAAAGAACAATCCGTATCACAAGTAAATATGGAATTGATCAATCTAAACTAGCTTTCCCCCGCCGAATCATCCAAATATTTTGCAATTAAAAGAAGGCATTGAATCGATCCCTTTGCCAGAAAATCAGCAGGAAGACAAGTCCACCAAAGAATCCCACTAACATCAACCAAGCCAAGCCATTATTTTATTCCCTTCCACCAAAGAAAATCAGCGGGACTATAATAGCTAGATGATATCAAGAATTGGGTCTCAAGAAGAAAACAAATTGGCAAAGATTTAAAACAAAAGAAATGGAAGAGAGAAAGAAAAAGGCTGACAATGGGGGTATCTTTAATGCTGAGATGAGGCAGAGGGTCCGAAGAGGAGACATGGACAGGGGCAAGCG